CGGACCATCCGAATAGAGGGCGGACCGCCGTCCTTCGATCGAGACGACGACGTTGAGCAGCTTTTGCAGCAGCACAGAACGCAGAAAGTCGGGGGAAAAGATCTCCTCATAGTGCGATGACCGAAGCAGTCGACGAGTCTGTGGATCTGTGTACGAGTAGAGTCAGTAGTCAGGCGAAGGAGTTGAGGTGAAAGCGTCTTGACCCGTGAGGTCGAAACATCGAGACCTGTGCGGAATAATGTGGTGGCAAGAGGTCCTGTCCGAGCTCTTTGCTCATACATGGGACCTCTCGACTTCCTTTACACACACACACACGTTGTTGCATGGACATGGCCTGTGTCGCTGCTCGTATCCCAGAAACAACGACAAAGTGGTCCTCAAGTGCACGACGTACGCGACCAGTCGTCCTCTGTAGCATCGATTCCTTGGCGACAAAAGCGCCCAACGTGGTCTTTTACAGCTGTGCTGCCGTCGCGACTCTGCAGAGCCAAAGCGCCACACGACCGATCGAATTCCGACCCACACGCGGTCTTTACTATGTGTGTGTGTGTGTGTGACGACAGCCGACGAGCGGATGATGCAAAAGCGCGTACGACTGATGGCAATCACCCGCTCGAGACCTTTACCGGTTCATGCCGTGTAGAATAAGAAACACCGTTTGCTGTCGCGAAACGTCTCGCACCAGCGCGTTAGTCACCCGCGCAACAGTGCGCCGTAGCGGCGGCAGTTGACCTGTCAGTGCTTCCCATGTGGTCGCACTTTTACACGCACACGCGACGGCTGGTGCTGCTGCTTTACAAACGTCATCATCGATCGACCTGTCAGGTCTTTCCCGCACGATCGACACAAGGCGCATAAGGACCGCTAGCAGCACGTTGTGTACAAACCCAATGGCGCTTCTTCACTCGAGCCCCAGCAGGTGCTTTGCCATGCAGCACAAGTGCCGATGACTCACGTCTGCCGCTATTTGCACTGCAACAGACACGAAATTGTATCGGCAACGGAACTGCGAAAAACGTCACATGTCGTGTGAGACGCCCCGACGTATCGTCCAAGTGCCGACACTAGAGGCAGAACTCGCCCGTCTTGTGGTCCCTTGAGCTGTGTTGATCGCACTGGTCGAATTCGCTTCAGCAAGCAGTGCATGGACGTAGCTCGACGGTGTCCTCGGGTGCTGCACTTGTCTCAGCAGTCTACATTCGCAGCAAGTCCCAAGTGTCCAAAAGCACCGAAGTTGTACAGCAGGTTGCCAGGACCACGTCGAGCGCATAAGAAGCACGCAGTTTCGTACAGGACGAAGCTGCTCGACACGTGCGAACGAAGCGGAATGGAAACTGGTTTCAGGCGCGTAGAGACTTTACAGCCCTCGTGTGCGTTGGCCGACGCTGTTTCGTTCGGCCAGCTGGGTGTGCAACTGGAAAGGACCGGACGGGCATTGGGCATTGGGCATTGGGCATTGGATCGCATGGCCAAAGCCTTTACGCAGGAGGATCCGCGACAGCTGAGATCGTGTTTGGTGCTGTGAGTACTGTCCAGACGGGAGTGCATCGGATGTAGCGAAACAACAGGCGGCGGTCGTAGAAAACAAGTCGAGCCATGCGCCCTGAGCGCCTTACCGCACGTCAGTTCTTGGCGTCAGAGCCGCTCGCGCCTGCATGATGGGCAGGGACATCGTGGTGATACGTGGTACGATAGTCGAAGGCGTGGGACCGAGTAGCAATTGGTTGAGCGTCCTGATCGCAGCGACATGATATCTCACCCTGCGCGGTCCAGCCGATGATGGGGCAGGTAGTCCATGCAGGTGTGCAAGATGAAGGAGGAAGAGGGAGGCGAAGATCGCACACAAGCACAGGTTTGCGTCAGGGGTGGGCAAAGTCCTTACGCGGTCGTTGGTTTCTCGCTCTGGTGGTCGACCAATCTCGAATTCGACCGACATCAATGAGTCGTGGACACCTGCGCTCGAGCTTTGCAATCAGCAACGACGACGTGTGCGCTGTGCGGAGACTGGTTCTACGACCAGCACTGACTGGTCGGGCACACGAGTGGCGATGTTGGTCCCAGCGTCGACCAGCTCCCACGAAACTGTCCCAAGACCGTCGGTCATAGGGTTGAACTGATCGGCTCAACGAATGTCACGCAAGAGTGGGAAAGAAGGGAGTGTCGTTGTGCGGTCGGGTGAACAGCGTTGCTTGCTTGCTTGCTTGCGATGGGGTCGTGCTTGCGGCCGTCGTGCAACGTCAGTGCATGTCTTCGTCCGCTTGTTTGACGACCGGCTACGGATGATCCGAAGGGAACTCGAACGGAGGGCTGAGTCGATGCGACACCCCCTGCGTTTCTCTCCTTTGCTCAGTTCTTGGACCCCATGTGACCCACAGGAGCTGTCGTGACGGTATCTACCGACGTGAACGCGGCAGCGAATCTCTTTGCCGACCGACGACTACGCTTGTACAGCTGGTCGCATGATACGCGCGCCTTGTAATCTCGAAGGATGTCAACTGTATACTGAAGCGCATAGGAGAAGTTTTGGGACATTTGCACTCAACTTGGCGCGGTGCTGCTGAGCTTTGTTCATCGACTGTCGCCGATTGTCTTTGCGTGGTCCTGTCTATCATCTGGTCGCAGGCCGCATACCGTAAGTCGCACACACATCGCTCTCATTCCTTCGTAACTCACACAACGGCTTTCTGGTCCTTTGGTCTCGATCCTGCCCGGAATCGACGGACATGGCCGGAAAAGCACATACAGACAGACAGACTCGGACGTTCAGCTCGGCAAGTCGCAAACGACTTGCGCAAGCCTGGCTGAAGCTGCTACACACTATGCTTTGGCCTCCTGCAGTAACACCCCATCCTGCATGCCAAGAGCGATGGTTGTTTCTCGGTGGGTGCCGCAGCAAGAAGACCAGAAGATGCGAGTCCACTCCACACATGCGCGTTGCACCTTCTTAGAGCTGGAGCCCCCCCCCCTGGTCAGTAGTTTGCATGTCACGCCGTCAAAGCCCTTGCAGGTGCTCGAGTCGCTCGCTGTTTGTCACACAGACACACATAGACACCGGACATACACAAGGCAGACCCACCCACCCACTCACTCACTTATACACACACTTCCTCACACCCACTTACACAGGACGAGGTGAACCCTTTTTCGACAGCCACCTGACCTTTTCTGTCGTCGCGCGTCCGATCGGAGCGAAGAAATCACTAATTTTTCGGGATGGGACATGAAACTTCACGCTTCGCGACACTCAGTTAAGTGCCCTACACCTGCCGTGTGGTTTCACGGAACGTCGAGATCGCGCGCTCGAGAAAGTGTCCAAAGGCGACAAAAAGACGAACCGAAAGGAACCAAATGGAAGCAGTAGACGGAAGAAGCACAAGAAGAAGCACAAGACGACGACGACGACGAAGCTGAACGAAGGCAGCGACTCGATGATCACTTACTTGTCGCGGAAGTTGAGACCATAGCGGCGGATGAGGCGGCGAAGGTTTCGAGCTCGTGCGATGTGGCCACATATGACGGGGAAAAACGATTTAGATGGGCTGATGGGCTGAAGAGCTGAAGAGCTGTGCGAGGAGCGGCGCGGAACGACTGACGGCGGTGGTCCTCAACCGACGACGAACGGTCTCGACTTTGTCTTCCAAGGAGTGTTCCTTCGTTGACTCGTGGCCGCGACTCTCCACCGAAAGATGTGCGCAGCGAACGGCACGGCAGGACTCGACAAAGGAGTGCCGAACTCGGGCGCTGGCGACTCCACACCGTCTGTCTGGCAGGATAATGACGGACGGTTGTCAACTGATAGGCAAAAGAGGCAGCACTGGATCATCCGTGGCGATGGCTTCCGTCGTGTGGGGTCGGAGCGGTCGGAAGCCAGTGGCAAGTACCGTCTGCAGCTCGAACGAGACCATACGAGATCGCTCGCGGACCGACGGGATCGAGTTCGCGATCGCTGATACGGCGCCACTTCTGCGGGTGAAAAGAGACTTCCAGAGACGATCCTGTAGCACCGACCGACTGACCCACCGACCGACTGACCCACCGACTCGACACGAGACTGTGACCATGGGAGCACAACATCGCGCGGTCTGCCAACACGTCAACTGTCAGAGACGTCGGCGGACTCGTTCGAGCGCGTGTCAATGCTTTCGCCGTCCCTACGCTGCCTGACATTTGCTTGAACCCGCTTTGCTCGGATCGAATCCTCAACAGACTCGTCGACTGTTTGGTCGTCGCACGCACGCGACGAGATCTCGTTTCCGGCTCTGGGAGGTTACGACTTCCTGTTCTTCCAGAACTGCCACTGCGAGCCATCGCACCAGCGGTCGCGCATCACACGTGACATCCGACTTGCTTTGCTCCCCGTTGTTCCTTCATAAGCCGTCTCTTGTGGGCTCCTTATCCCTACTGCTCGCTGTCGTTGCCACCTGCTGGCGCTGCGTTCAGGCGATATCCCCTCCACAGAGGCGGCGCGTCGCGGACGACTTTCCCGCATCGGCCTCCCGGCATAATCATCAGCAACCGCCACTGCGGTCAGCCCACGCCCAGCTGCTCGACGCCCGCGTTCGGCCTCAGCCGCAGCTGCAACAAATCCGGATCCTCGAATCGCTGCCGAGACGTCATCTTTTTCGCCTGCTTTGTGCGTCAACGCACATCGCGCGCTCCCTACTCGTCCTACTGCTGCAAGACGTAAACAAAATCCACGAGCCGCAGCTCAACTCGAGTCTGTCGCGGGCCGCGTTTTGCCCGAAAGGATTGCGCGACGTACTACTGACAGTGGCACGGACGTGGCCTTCCTACCGACACGAGAGAGATAGCCGCACGACCAGTTCGTTGTCGTTCTTGTGAATGTGAGTGAGTGACTGTGTGTGTGTGTGTGTGAATGTGTACACGGAGGACAGAGCGGCCGTGGACCACTCGTCTCAAATATCCACAGCCGTTAGCCAGTCCCTTGTTTACTACCGTTCATCTCGTATCCCTTCGTCTCGCTCGACCCCTACCATTAAATGACACGGGCCACAAGTGCGACCAGCGATCCCTCTTCGGACGCTCGTGCTGCGCACGTCTCGAGCGTCGACGACCTTACAGACACGTCGTCGCGTCCCGATCGACCGACCAAACTCGGCTCGAGCAGTCTCCTGCAGTCGCGCGTCGGGCGGGACAAGCAACGGTACGACGGGGACACGCGGCTGCTCGTGTGCATTGTTGTAGTGGGACTGCGTTGTCCGAGAGAGAGCGGCGAGGCCGAGTCGAGGGCGGACACGTGTCTGCTCATCTCGAGCTCGAAAGACCCGACGCAGTGGATTTTGCCCAAAGGTGGATGGGAGACGGACGAGTCGGTCGTCCAAAGTGCTCTGCGGGAAGCCAACGAGGAAGCAGGAGTATGTACAGTGTGAGGAGGTCGTTGACCACTCGAGTCGAGTCGAGATCCGAGATCCCATATCCGAGATCTCGAGACCGAGTCCTTCTCTAGCTGTGCAGTTACATACTAATGCGGCACTTATATGGTGGGTACCTGCAGGTGGCGGGCCACCTTGTCGGCTCTCTAGGCACGCTCGACTTTGTCAGCCGGCAGGGCACACGCTGTCGCTTCTACGGCGTCACGCTGCAGGCCACGCAGGTCTTTGACGACTGGGCAGAGCCCACGCGCTTGCGCAAGTGGGTACGTCGTTGCCACGCAAACGGCTTCGAGGCGTTTTCAATGCTGCGCCAATGCTTACTGTACTGGTCCCGTAGGTCTCGTTTGCGGCCGCGCGGGAGCTACTGCAGCACCGACCAGAGCTTGTGGAGATGGTAACGCGCGCTGCCGCGACGACGACGATGCCCCGTGTTGGTAACACACTGGACGTATGAATGTTACCCCGTACGCTGCAGTCCGAACGGAAGCTCAACGACTTGAGGATCTCGTACGTCCATCCAAATCTCTCTCTCTCTCTCTCTATCGCTATCGCTCGCGCTCTCTCGACAAGTTCTGGTCGGACAACGACGGAGCGCAGAGAGCCGATAACTTGCACGACAGTAATGGCCAAAACTGGTCGAGCGAGGAAGACGGAGGAGAAGACGGAGAAGAAGAAGAAGACAGAGATGAGAGAGAGAGAGAAAGAGCAGCTACACACCTGCGGTCGTACATGGACTCGAGAGATTGCGTGTCGTGTGTCGCCTTCCCCTTCCGTGGTACACTGTAGTAGTCGCAGTCGTCGTACTCGTACTCGTACTCGCACGAGTAGTAGTAGTAGTAGTAGTAGTAGTCGTCGTCGTCGTAGGAAGAGGTGAGCGGTAGTAGTACCTTTGCAGCTAAAGCCGCCCTGGATTGGGTTGCGCGATCTTTTTCTTTCAGGCGGTCCCACGTCCTCCTCCTCCCCCTCCCTCCCTCGCGAGTCGCAATGGCACCGACCACCTGTGCTGACGACAGTAGCGCGGCCTCCTTCTTCACGACAAGAGCCGTCTCCATTGTCACGTTATCAGCGGGCAACGGGCGACTGGGTGGCGGTCGCTTCGTTTCTACGCTCTCACTGCATCTCGTGTGCGTGGATTGTCGAGCGCGTGGCCGGGCGTCACGGCCGACAGCGGAAGCCGGAGAGCCTGAGCCGACTCGGGCCACTGTACGTCAGTTGCTGGGTGGGCGCCGTCCATCTGCTGCCACGCACGCTGCGTGCTCCCCGTCCCCTCTCCCCGTCGTGCGAGGCCGACGATGCGAAAGAAATCAATCGCGCGGCCGCGGGCACGACACCACACGACGAGCGAAGTGGGTGAGTGGGCGCGACGCGTCGTGTCGCGGCTGCGTTACTCACAGCCGCCGCCGCCGCAGCAGCAGCGACCCGAGCGAGCTGACTTGTGAAATGCCGCCTAAGGAGGCAAAACCGGGGCACGCGAGTCTCGAGGCGAGCGAAAGTGGGGATTACGCGCGACAATCGACGGCCCTTGTCGACCGACGGACGGACCGTCGCGCCTGATCCGGCCGTCTGTCTCTCTGTCCGTCGCATCTGTGTGTGTCGAATCCTCCGTGTAGACCCACTGGCTCTGGTTTCCCCGAGCGAGTCCGATCGAAATGACGAAACGGAGGTCCGGCGATAGACACACAGGAAGGGCAGGAAAGGCCACAGGACAGCTCAGGCAGACAGGAGGGAGGGAACGAGAGAGGAAGGAACGACTACGATACCGAGAGAGACGAACGCTTTTGGGCTGTCGAGCACGCGGCGACGCGTCGACCATGTGGTTGTCGTCGAGCTATTGTCGAACAAGCGGTTCGACAGCAGTCGGTGGCAGTCGACGACGACGACAACGGGGCCAGCAAACCAGTGGACAGGAACCGACCGCGCGTTTGTCGTGTCCCCGTCGCGACAAAGAAACGTAACGCGAACGCTCTGCTCGTTTTGGCGAGTTGCACGCCCGCAGTGGTTACTCCATGTCCCCATGTGACGAGGAGGACGAGCGATCAATGTGCCTCAAAGTTGTTCCGCAGTTACTGTAGTAGAGAGAGAGAGAAAGAGAGAGAGAGAGAGAGCGTTTGTCAGGACGTTTTGCAGCCACGTAATACATCGATCGGTCGCCTGTGTATCTGTGTGTGTCTGTGTGTGTGTGTGTGTGTGTCGGTCGTCGCCTCTGCGCGCTCCCGACCGCTCTCTCTCTATTGTCGTCGGTCCCCTACCCGCTCTGTTCAGTCTGCGCGCTCCTTTCGAGTCGGTCCGCCAGCCGCACTTGGAGCGGACGCTCGCGTGAGCGCTCGGGAGCTCTTTAATATCTTTCGGCGCCGCTCGTCCGTCTGACGTGGCGTAGCGAACGCGACTGTTGTGAGGTGGCAAACCCAGCGGTCCACTGTGTGCCGCCTGCTGCTGGGAGCGTCTGCCGCCGTCCCGAGCCGTCCGGCCTGGCGAACGCGTTGCCCCAATGCAACACGAAATTTTGGTCCGACTCTCGAGATCAGTCGTCGCAGGAGCAGCACGTCGTGACCCACGACGAGCATCGAATGGACGAGACGCAGGTGAGATCCACCCACGCACGTTCCCAGTGCCGTGACCGACCGAGTGAGTGACTGCGATACAACACGAGGGCTCAGATGTGGGGCTTTGTAGACGACGATGACGAGGAGGAGGAGGAGGAGGAGGAGGAGGGACTGTAGACTTGCAACGACGACGTCGCCGTCCGCTCGAAAGCGTCGGCGGGCGGTCGCCACGTGCGCAAGCGGCTGCTCGACTCCCCGCCGCGTAGTCGCATCGTGTCCATCCCATCGACCGTCGCAACCACTGCAGCCGGTGGAGCGCTCAGTCACATTGTAGTCGTCGACGACTCTTGTGCGTGTCCACGGCCTCGTAACGACCCGAAAATCCATTGCCGACAAGAGCGGCCACGCAACAGACGTCCGGTCCGTCAGTTGTTCGCGCCCGACAATACCACTCACGCACTAACGCACCAACAACAATAACAGTAGCAACGACAATAGCAACGACAACAGCAACGACGACAACAACAACAACAACAGCACTCGCAACAGCACTCGCAACAGCAGCAATAACGACAATCGCGACAATCGCAATCGCAGCTATAACGGCAACCGCAGTCGCAGCAATAACAGTCACAGTTTCCGCATGACCGGAAACCCACGTCACCAGTGGTGACTGCCGCCAGAAGGCGCGCGCGCGCCGCGAGGAACAGTGCCAACTTGCGGCGTGCGACACTCGGCGCGACGCATCCAGCCGGTGGGTACAGCGCCGGGCGCGCGTCGACCAGCTGGGGCAGCCACGACCCGACGACATCAGTCGCGACGGAACGGCTGCTGGCGCGGACAAAAATAGAACCTCGACTTTTTCACCGGGGGCTAGGGGTCGGAACGACTCCCCCTCCCCCCCCCGCCCGTCTGCTGCCGCTGGTCGCCGTGTCGTGACGAGCCCTGTCATTGTTCGTCCACCGCTACTGCTACTGACTGCTACTGACTGCTGCTGCTGCTGCTGTCTCCACCTGTTGGTATTGCGACTGCAGCGGCGCTGTCGACTCGTGCGCTCGCTCCCTCTCACGCTGTCGCTCGCCCCTTTTTCCCGAAAGACTGTCATTTCTCGAAAAGCCTCTGCGCAACCACACGCCAGTGCCTCCTCCGCCTTCTACTACACTACTTCGGCTACTTCGGCTACTTCGGCTACTACAGCTACTGCAGCTACTTCGGCTGCTTTTGCTACTTTTGCTGCCATCGCACGCGAGCGACCGCCGTCGACATGCGTCAACGCACGAAGAGCGTCGTGAACGTCCGCGAGTACTTTCGCATGGACGGCAGTGGCGCGCCGGAACAAGAGGACGACGACGACAACGACGGCGACTGGAAGCGCCTGTTGGCCGCGTTGCACGGCGTACCAGTGGGTGGCCGCGGCCGCCGCAGTAGCAGCAAAAGCGGCAAAGCGTTCAATGTGATTGCGCCCGAGAGCAAAAAAAGCGCGCGGGGGCGGACGTCCACGTGCGACTCGCTCGACGACACGGACGACGACACGGACGACGAGACGGACGACGACGCAGACGACGACGGCATCCTGCGCGTCCGCGCGTGCAGTCACGACCGCCGCATTAGTTTCCACGCCGACGTGGACGTGGTGGAGATCCCGGCGCGCTCGAGCTTTGACGCCGAGTACAAGCAGCGCGTGTGGTACTCGCGGGACGAGCTGCGGCGCAGCCAGACGTGCTGCTAGACGCGAAGACAGACAGACAGACAGACAGACAGACAGACTGATTGACTGGGAGCAGCAGTAGCCGCACGGCAGTGACGCTGGTCGTGGGTTCCAGTCACACGTCGTGCAGAGTGCGGACGTGTTTATTTATCGAGTCGAGCGTAGGCACGAGACGAGCAGTGCTACTTTCCCACGCAGAGGGGGTGACAAGACAGACAGACAGACAGAGAGACTGACAGACAGAGAGAGTGACAGACAGAGAGAGAGAGAGCGAGACGGGTCGTGGAGTATTGTGATCCGAAGTGATAGGGTCCTCCCGTACGTCCGTCCGAGCGTCCGAGCGTGCGTACATGCGAATACACACACCTGAACGACACCACTTTTTAGTTTGCATTTTGCTGCTGTGCTGTGTTTGCTGTCTGTCGGGGGCAGGCGACGACAGTGCCCGCGGCGGTTCAATCGTTTCCCGTCCTCTCTCTCTCTCTCTCTCTCTCTCTCGTTTGTTTCTTCCCATCTTCCCTCCAGCAGCCAAAGGCGTTCGTTACATACAACACAAACCCACACAAGACACGAGTGTGCAACACGCTGCGTCGGGACGACGGCCGGTGGTCCTTCTTGCCGTGTTGTACTGCTGTCGTCGTTGGTCTCGTCGGTAGGTCCGCGCGGCGTGACCAGACGCTGCGTTCGGGCCGACGACCACACGAGCGCGAGACAAAGGCACGAACGCCGCTGCCGCCTCTTCGTCACAAGAGGGAACGCACCATAGGAGAGAGAGAGAGACCACTCACACCACCTCCTGGTGTTAGTCACCGTCGAAACACAAACTGCCCGCCTCGTGCAATGCTACGAGAGGTGGAAGCTGCACTGGCCTTCGTGGATGCAATACAGCAACCGCTGCTTCATGACCTCACGCGTCGAGTAGTCGGGCAATTTCAAGTAGTTCGTGCACGTGGACGCCGACGGCAGCACGGCGTCGTTTGCCTCGGCACGGGAGCCGTCGCTGGTCTGCACGAGTTTGCGCACGACCGTGAGTTTCGGCTCGAGGTTGCGCAGTCCACCCAGCGGCAGGCGATTGGCACCCGTGACGAAGCGCACAAACAGACGCTGCTCGTCCAACGACAGCTCGCACAGAATCGACACGAGGTTGGCGATCGCACGACTGTCGGACGTGTACCCGTGGTCGCACACCAGGTGTTCCCACAAGTCGACGCCGTCACGGTCCCAGATGGAGCCGCTAGCGCTGCGGTCGCTCAGCAACGCTTCGAGCTCGGGCACGTCAAACACCGGCAGGAAGTGAAAGAGCCGACGGTCTCCTTTGCCGCCGCAAATCTGCTCGAACCCTTGCTTGAACGCCTGCACTTGGCTCTTGATTGTCCGGTCCAGCAGGAACTCGAGATTCAGCGTCACGTACTGATGCAGGGTCGACAGTGTCACGGGAATGTCCTGGCCGCCCGGTTGCAGCGGAATCTCGTCGGCGCCAATCATCGTGAACGAGCAGCACAGCGAGTCCACCTCCATCGTCCACGCAGCCACGTCGTCATCGTCTGGCTCGACGTCTCCCGACGCCCTCTTCATGGCATACTTGACCGCTAGATCGTGCAAGTAGCGCAGCGAGTTGGCCAGCACCGGGTCCAGCTCTTCGACGAAAGAAAGCGATGACTCCACGCTCACACCGTCGCCTACCAGTGTCTCGCCGCGCAACGCTCGCACAAATGGACGGGCAAACGGCAAGTTCAGCAGCCGCTCGTCTAGGATAGCTTGACTCACGAAGCGGCCCAAGAACCGGAACCATGCTAGCGCGTTTACCTCGTCCCCACTGAATGAACATGCATCGTCATCCAGGCTGTCGGAACCATTCGGCCCGGCCATACTGTCGAGTGACGTTCTACTCGCGTCCAATTCGCTGTCGCTGAGGTACGGCTTTGGGTACAGACCAAAAGGAGCCGTCACAGGTGGACCGCCGCCGACGGTGCCGTTCAGTAGAGCAGCCTCACTGAGATAATTCAGCGACTCCACCTCCGACTCCAGCACATCTGGACTGCGTGCGAGATTCTCCACCAGCATCTCCACGTCCTTTCGCGTGATTGCAGATATCATGACATTCAACGGAGTGCCTTCACACAAGGGCGATACATGCTTTGTCACGGCACGATAGTCCCTCTCAAACATACGTCGACCCGACCGCGAGACCATGCGATTTCCATCCATGACAACAATACCGGCATCTGTGCCGGGAAAGTTCACCGTATCACAGTGCGCACACTGCAGGACGGGATGCTGTACGCGCTTGGTATCCGTAGGAAACACCTTGGCAAGGTACTGTGCTTCTTCATCACTCAGAATCCACCACTTGAGCATGTAGCCAACTGCAGGCTTCGCCGTGCTGTCGTTCCCTTCCGCATCGTCATCTGAACTGCAGTCGCAGGAAGTCGCTGCAAGATGCCAGTTGTGGTTGTCCAAACATCGCGCACACTGCGGGATGGAATCGCTTGGAGGTTGCCGTCGCTCTGGTACTGCACACGCACTATCCTTCCCGCACGTTTGGCTTGGGTCAATGTCAGTGGTATCTCCCTCGCTATCTGCACCTCTGTTCTCGCGCGTGAGCAACTGTTGGTGGACGGGACATACCGGAATGTAAAGTGCCTTGCAATGCGAACAGTGGTATACTGCGACGCGATGGTACCCTCGTATAGCTAACGAGCCATTGGCCTGGTTCGTCTTGGTCGAGTCTATGTCGGCGCCATCATGTTTTCGCTTTTGCTCGTCATCTGCGCTATGAGTAGCTCCAGACACCACCTGGTCATCATCATCCCGCCAAAGCTGCAACTGCTTGGACTGTATCTGCTGGCACACTAGAGTAAAGAACTCTGTTGTCGGCCCCAGACCAGTGCCCACTTCGCCAAGAAACTCAATCTCGATCACTGCCTTTTTCCCACCGTACAATGTCAACAGCTTTATCGCCGACTGCAAAAGGCGCGACCGTGCTACCCGCACTTTCAGCCGAGGAAGCTTCACCATTTGCATAATGTTGTCCAGGGCGGACGTCTGTGTACGACTAGTTGCATCGCGGTATCGACGCCGGCCGCCAGTGACGCTGGATCGGGCCTGGCGCGTCTGGGCTGGTTCTTCCATCACAGCTTTTTTCCACACCGACCGACATAAATACTGAATGGCTCTTGAGCACCCGCACGTTGTCGCATACATAAAGTGATGCCGTGTCTCAAACTCAAGCACGAACGGAAACTCATACACGAGACGAGAACACCACTTTGGCAGGTGGTTGGCTACGATGTTTACGGGCTGCTGCAGTGCACGGCGCACCTGGAGGCTAAGGTAGCTGTTCACGAAATTTAGCTGCATTCCAAACGGCCTCCTAACACACTGCTCTCGCAAAAGCTTTAGCAGCGCCAGTAAGTCCCACACATCGTCCCACCACTGCTCCACCACATCAACGACTGCCGGTTCCGACGACAAAGACGATGCCGCAACAGTTTGACGGCTCTCACCAGTAGACTCCGGAGTGACAATATCATCTGCCGAGACTGGGACAGCTGCTACTCGAAACGTGATATCATGAGGCGATGCTGTCCATAAAGCAGATCCGGACGTCGGCAAGCCCCTGGACGTCGATCGGCGAGCTTCCAAGTCGGACTCCACATGATCAGTCGCGCCGATCGCTCCAAACTTTACGATAGCCTCCAAGATACTCATGTCTGCTGGAAGCACTCGCCCTTTGTACACCGCAACCACTCTTCGCGGATCTATATCATCGTTGTGGAACCCTTCGCGACCATCGAGCTCGGCGCCTCCGCTGTCATCGTCTTCTTCTGACAATTCATCAGAAATAACATCAGCGTCCCGATCTCTACCAAACAGCTTATCCGCAATAAAGTCTTCCATCGTTTCAATCCGAGCGAGAGGTTCCACTAGCACGACTGTGTCGTGGACACTGCACTTGTTCAAGTCGCACTTGCTCTTTCGATTTTGGGCCGACAAAGTTCGTTTCGCCCTACCCATCTCCACGTCGTCGTGATAGCCACTGTCTGCGTGATCGATACCTTGGTCTTCATTGCCAGACTCAGACGTTTGTTTTGCTTCCTCAATCAACACGTGCACCTTGATATGCTGAGTTAGTTGGTCCAGATCCGTCACAATGCTACCAGACGAAAGATTCATAGACGACGATCCCGCGGCAGAAACCACAAACACATCCTTCTCAGAAGAGATTGCATCTTGCAAACATCGCGAAAGCAATGTCACAAATTCGAGCCCACCGCCGTCAGTTCCTTGCATCTCTATCATCTGGGAAAACGCTCGCTGGCCCTTGTCGAACGATAAAACACGAATGAGCACATTCACTAATCCGCTGCAAGCAATCTCATGGGCAGTCAACGTGTCATTTCCTCTCACGACGAACTCTCGCAGCTGTACCAGCACATCGAGCAGCGGCGTGGTCTGATCATTTCTGGTCGTGTTACTAAAAGCCAGCGCTGTTTGCAGCTCGTCCACAAGCCGCTCAAACGCAGCCATTACACTTATCATCGAATTTTCGTCACCCAAATAATCACCAACAAGCCGATTCGCGATGGCGCGAATATTCTGCAAATCACTCTCATCTTTGTCTTCTTCGGGCTCGAGGATAGTAGACGCGTAATGGCGGATGATACTTGTGACACCATACCGCTCGTACTCTTCTTTTGCCGCCTCTTGAGCACCAGCATGCTGTAGAGGCATCACGGCGATTCTCAGCGCTAGCTGTATCAGCGCAACATCGTTATCCGCTTTGTGCTTCGCAGAAGCTATCGCTGTCGTGGCAGCACGCTTGGGACGCAGCACCCGTGCAAGAAAAGCGGCAAGTCGCGCCAACTCAGTTCGTTCTTGGATTTTGAAAGGCTGCTGAGTAGCATATACCAATGAGCAACATCGAGATATGACGCCGAGACAATCGCATCGCAAATCTGGTCGGGAAGTTGCGTCATACACGCGAGTGATCAGCGGCAACATACCGTGTGCCAACGTGAGCGTTGCCGGTGGAATTGCTTCACCTGCTGGCGAAACATCGTCTGCAAACGGCACGACGACTAGCACCAGCTTGAGGGTCTCGCGGAGCAGCTGGTTCTCCGAGATGACTTCTTGCTTAGCCAGCAACGCTGTCACAATCGGTGGCAACTTGACAAAGCGCAAGTACGACGTACTCAAAACGTGCGCCATCTCGTCCACGTCACTTGGCACACAAGTCAGGAGGCACGAGAAAAAGCGCAAGATGCTAGTGTACCCCGCAGGTGCCAATTGCGACGACAGTGGTGCCGCCGTCGCAGCTACAGCACCGCCTGCTCCGTCCACACCTGCGTACCACGTCAGCTTATCCACGAGCAGTGCACAGATCTCCTCTGTTGCAACCATCCGGGCAAACGCTTGGTCCTGGGCAAACGCTTGGCTCTCCCCCAGCTTTTGCAAACACGCGACGCTGCTCTGCACGATATCGTTGTCCAGCGAGCGCAAGAGATTGGTGAGAAACGGCAGCCCGTGACGCAGTTGCGTCTTCATGGACAGTGGAAAGTCCGTAGCCAATTGGCTCACGATCCGCGCAGCGCGTCGTTGGATCTCCAGTGGAAAAAAGTCGATAAACTGCAACACGGCAACGAATCCGTTCTCCTGGATAACCTGCAGGCGGTACTGCGCGCACAGCTTCGCAACGTGCGCGGGCGCCGCTGACGCCGACGACAGGACCGGTATCATCACCAGCCGACTGCTGCTCGCTGCCCGGAGCGCGGTCTCTGCTTTGCACACAATGGTCTCGAGCATCTGGAGAGCCAGTTCCGCCACGTCAATGTACTCGATCGCCACGAGCTTCGCGCACAAAGCGCCAATCACGTGCTCGCTCGCAGCCAATGGGATCGCCGCGCTGGGGAACAGCTCGAGCGCCATCGACAGCGCGCGCGCCGCCAACAGGAGCACGTCCATAGACGGTGACTGGCGCAGCAGCGCGACGATCAGCGGCACAAAGACGTCCACACGGAAGCCCGCGACCGCCAGCGCGTCTTCCGTGGACAGCGACAGCGTCTCGCAGAGCGTCGCGAGCGCTTCGAGCTGCGTCGCGGTTGGCGCGGGCGCTTGCAATTGGCTCACGAGGTGCTGGAAGAAACACGGGCGCGTCTGATTGGCGGAAAGGTCGGCCCGCGGCAATGAGTGCGCGCGCGCCGGCGCGGACTCGGAAGTTGAAGTGGCGCTAGGGGTGGGGGTGTGGAGTTGCTCGAGCAGCGCGCGGAGCGACGGCGAGACGGCGTCGTCGTGCAGCGCCGAGAGGAGCGCGTGGGCGTCGGCGCTGTGCAGGTGCGCGAGCGCGTGGTGCGCGTCGAGGCGGTCGAGCTCCGCGTACGCGTCGTCGTCCTCGGCGCCGCTGTCGCTGCGCGCACTCATGTGGGCGCCGACGTTGTCGTTTGGTGGTGGGTCGGTCGGTCGTTCTTTGGGTGCCTGTGGTGGTGGGGTTGGGACTGGGTGGCTCAGAAGGCCGAATCTGAGTCGAAGAAAGTGGTCGAAGTGTGTTGTGGGTGTTTGTGAGCGCGCCAGGTGGAAGCGTGGGTTTTTCTGAGCTAAGTGGGTGGGTGGGTGGGTAGTCGCGAGGTCGGGGTCGGATACAACGACATAATATATAGTTAGCAAGAGAGAGAGAAAGAAAATGCGAGAACTGGTGTGGTGGTCAGCATGATATGACAGAGCTGGAGCAATTCGCAAGAGTGACAGGTCGAGACGGCAAGTCAAATAGAAACTTGAAATGATTCTGCAGCCTCGAGCATAACGGGACAGACATTGTCATAACCGAGAAGGTTTAGATCTGCTAATGCTGCTGCTGCTGCTGCTACTACTACTACTACCACCACTAGCACTAGCACTACTACTACTACTACTACTACTACTACTACTACTACTACTACTACTACTACTACCACCACCATCACTATCGCGACGACGGCGACAACAATCTCCATCACTACTATCACTCCTACTATTCTCCGTCAACGTCCTCGTTTACTTCATTGATATGCATCGATCGAGTCCATTATGTGCATACTCGTATACTGCCTCATCAACTCGCATCTCCTGCGCCTGCTGCAGCAGCTGCTACAAAGCGACTGCGTATCTTGGCTGCCACCACATCGATAAACTCAAACGTGTTGAGGTAGTGCTCGCGCTTCAAGTTGGAGCCGTGCACGAGCATTGCCAGATCCTTTGTCATCTCGCCGCCCTCGACGCTCTCGATCACACACGCCTCGAGCTCTTTGCAAAACCACTCGAGCTGCCGGTTCGCGTCCAGCTTGGCTCGGTGCAGCAAGCCGCGCGTCCAGGCGAAAATACTCGCAATCGAGTTGGTGCTCGTCTCGCCTCCTTTCTGGTGCACGCGGTAGTGCCTCGTCACTGTACCGTGCGCCGCTTCGGCTTCCAGCGTGCGTCCGTCTGGCGTCAAGAGGACACTCGTCATGAGACCGAGCGATCCAAACCCTTGCGCCAGCACGTCCGACTGTACGTCGCCGTCGTAGTTCTTGCAGGCCCAGACGAACCCGCCCTTGGACTTGAGGCACTGCGCGACCATGTCGTCGATCAAGCGGTGCTCGTACCACGTACCGACTGCGTCAAACTTGGGCTTGAACGACGTCTCGTACATGTGCTGGAACACGTCCTTAAAGTGGCCGTCGTAGCGCTTGAGAATGGTGTTCTTCGTGCTCAAGTACAGCGGCATCTTGCGCTCGAGCGCAAACTCAAAGCACGACTTGGCAAAGCCCGCAATGGACGCGGTCGTGTTGTACATCCCGAGGGCGACGCCGCCGTCCGTGAAGTCGTACACGTGGTGCTCTTCTGGCTTTGCACCAGCCCGTGCCGGCGTGAACGTGAGCGTGAACGTGCCGGGCTCTGTCGCGACAAAGTCAATGGCCCTGTACTGGTCGCCGAACGCGTGTCGGCCAATGACAATGGGCTCTTTCCAGCCCGGCACGAGCTTGGGGATGTTCTGGCACAGAATGGGTTCGCGGAAGACAGTGCCGCCCAAGGCGTTGCGCAGTGTGCCATTGGGGCTGAGCCACATTTGCTTGAGCTGAAACTCCTCGACACGGGCCGCGTCCGGCGTAATGGTCGCGCACTTGATGCCGACGTGATGGGTCTGGATCGCCCGCGCAGCTTCGAGCGTCACGCTGTCGTTCGTGGCGTTGCGGTGCTCGAGACTGAGGTCAAAGTACGCGATGTGGAGGTCCAGAAACGGGCAAATGAGCTGCTCGCGGATGGCTTTCCAGATGACGCGCGTCATTTCGTCGCCGTCGAGCTCCACGATGGGGTTCGCGACGGAGATTTTGGACGCGACGTCGACCGCGTCGGTCATGAGGGGAGACGAGAAGCGGAAGAGGAGAAGAGGGGGAAGAAGAGGAGGAAGAAGAGGAGCGAATGGGATCGAAGCGAGTTGGACGGACGTTAGTTTGCGTGATGTGCATCCAGTGGACCTGATCAGATCGGTATCAGAAGGTGACGGGGGCGATGGAGCGCTGTCATTGGCTGCTCACTTTGAGGTTCAGCCATGTTGAAGTGGCTCTCTCTCGATCGATTGATCGACCTACAGGCAGTAAAGTGCCGTCTTGCTGAATGGGTCTGTCAGTGGTGTGCAATACAATAGGTAAGTTACGGCCGTACATGAAGACTTGGCTAGGCTAGGATGGGTGCTATCTGCTATGGACCTGCTTTGGCTCCAGTGGCTGTCACAACGTGGCATGCTCGTGCTCGTGCCGCAGGTGGTCGTGGACGTTGTTGGCGCTAGGAAAGCTGTTCGATCGCTGCCGCACCGGCGTCTCTACTGACGCAGCATCGTCGTCGTCGTCGTCGTCGTCGTCTGCTGTCGGTGACGCAGCACCAAGTGCCAGCTCTCGCACGCCTTCCTCGAGAGCTCCAGCTGCCTCGTCCGCGTCGACACTCTTGACCTGGTCGTCGTCCTGCGGGTTGGCCGTCACGACGTCGCTGTCCTTGTCACCGCTCTCGCTCTTCTTTGCTGATAGCTCGCGCTCGACCGTCTCGCCATGCGTTGACGCAGGCACTGCAGCTGCCCTCGCACTCGACTCGAGCGCGACTGCAATCGTCCCATTGTCCCCATAGTCTTCCCGGCCATTGCCCTCTTCATCGTCATCGTCGTCTTCGTCGTCAATGACAAAGCGCGGCGCCCGTGCGTTCGCGTGGGCCATGGCCGCTGGACTGTCTCCCGCCGCCGGCAGCGGGTCGCAAAAGCCCGTCGCTGCGTCGCTCTTCCGCGCGCGACTGGTGGTCTCGCCGCCGCGCTGCAGCACATAGTCGCGGTACGACGGCATGAAGTTGTGGTACGCGTCGGCCAAGATGTCCGACAAGCTCAAGACCTCTTTCATGTTGCTGAGCACCTCCGAGTCGGGCAGGCGGTCCAAGTGCTTCTTAAACTGACTCGCGTTGAACGCCACGAGGTGCACGACGGCAAAGAGCACCATCTCGACGCACAAAATCAGGTCTTTCCACGCGACCGCCTGGTCGTGCGTCAGGCCCGGGACGACGCCCCAGTCGAGCAGACTGTTTTGCCAGAACGTGAGGAACACGACGCCCTTAACGGCAAAGAACTTGAGCACGGGGCGGAACGGCGCGAGGATGGGCTGCACGGCGCGGTAGAAGAGCCACAGGCCGTAGAGCGCCACCGAGTAGGACGCGTTGTAGACCACGACGAGCACGAGCTGGTACGCCGCCGTGTGGTACGTGCCGCAGGCCAACATCCCGAGCGACAGCGCGGCCATGAGCGGCTTGAGGAAGACAAACTGAATCGTCGCGCGCTTGCAGAGGCGCAAGAGACGGCCGTCGCGGCCCAAGGGGTCAAAGCAGCGGTCAAAGGGCCACAGGTGGCGCACGTCGGGTTCGCTCTGGAGCTTTAGCGCGCAGACGGACTCACCCCCTGTGAAACTTAATATCAGCGCCAAAAAGCTGTAGACCACAAACGCTTCGTAGCAGTCGCGGATCGAGTCCAAGTAGAGCGCATAGTGGACGAACGTGAGCGAGAGGAGCGAGCCGAGCGCGTAGACGGGGACGATCGCGAGGATGCGCACGATGTAGCGCTGCAGCGGCGGCCGCGAGTAGTGCACGAGGTGCTGCACGATGTTGTAGACGCTCAGGAGCGTGGCCAGCACGCAGCAGGCGAAGGCCAGGAGCACGCAGGCCGCGCGGTGCGTCTCGACGGCGTTGAGCGCGAGGCCGAACACGCGCGCGTCGCCCGTGGCGTTGCTGCGCAGGCCGCTCGACGCGGGGAGGGCGTGCTCGGGCGCGTCCATGGGGGAAACCAACTATGAGAGACTATCAAGTGTCGCCGGTTTGGAGTCGGTCGGAATGGTTATATGTACAGGAATGCTTAGATGTACAGGAATGCTTAGATGTACAGGAATGTATGTTGGTCTGTCGGTCAGTCGGAATGATTGTCGGTCTGTCGGTCAGTCGGAATGATTGTCGGTCAGTCAGTCAGTCGGAATGATTGTCGGTCTGTCGGTCTGTCGGTCTGTCGGTCTGTGGGGTGGAGGGCACGGGGCGGTAGAAACGACGCGAGGAGTTGAAGGAGGACGCGGATTGGTGGAGAGAGACATGGGGTGGCGACTTGTGAGCGAATCACGTGCGGTGGATCGGGTTGCCCAGTGTGGGGGAAGAACACTCGATTGCACGTGCGTCCCGTCTTTGTCCCCGCGACTGAAGCTGTGTGGGATCGAGCGTGGGGTGTGATGGCAGTGAATGTTCTCGTGCAGTGGCATAAAGAACAGGTCGCTAAGACTTTACCGGAGCGTCTGTCTAATCTAATACGCACGTAAAACGCGTTTTTTCTTGGTATACGGTCTTGCCGGATACGTGCGCTCGTGCGTGAACAACAGCTGTTGCGGAAGAAGGGCGGTATCATCCACCTTGTCACGAGTAAAGCGCGCTTAGACAGCCCCATACGGCACAGTCGCTATACAGTCGCTATACATACAGTCGCTATCCGGCGGTGCACGTAGATCGTGCGATTCCAGACGTGTGGCACCGAAACAGACCTTCTCCACGACACTCGACGTTTGTTGATACAATTGATGCAATTCCACAGACAGTTAGTGATCGAAGACGCTGACTCAACCGGCCGAAGCTGTCAACGAGATCGGTATGTGTCGAGAGACATTACCGCACGGTCGCTTGCATGTCTATGCGTTCCGATGCGACATTCGTTTCGGTGCGACATTGCACCGCATACATCGCCTGACGTCGAGGAACGGCTTTTACACCTTGAGAACGGATTGCCATTTCGCTCGACCCGCCGCTGGAAACAGTGCAAACACCGCCTCGTCCGGCTGTCGCGAGGTGAGGTCGCGCGTACGCAGCTTCGCGTCGTCTCGTACGAAGAAATGCGACCACACAATCGCTCGACTGCGCTCTTTGTCACGCACGCCACACGCGCATCGCTCACGACGCTCGTCCCGATCACGTGTCTTTGTGAGACGCCTCGCACTTGTTCCACACACTCGAAGCTTTTTCGCGGAAGCGCTTGCGTGCAAACGATCTTCTGTACGACGTTCATGCACAAAAGGGGATCCACTCACCTGCCACAGCGTCCCACGTCGCAACACGCGACTCTACGTTTCCCCCCCCGCCTCTGTTCCATCGCTGTGCTGCTTATCTTCGCTCTGTCTCTTGACGTCATCTCTACGTACCACGACGGGCAGCTTGGCACGTGCCTCGAAAAAAGTGACCACCTGTCGTGCGCCATTTGGCCACTTTTTTCGTGCCGCCTGCAAGACAACGTCGTGAGCAATCGACTCTCGGACCTGTATACTGCAGGAAAGTGGTGAGATGAGTGGCCCTACAGGCTGCACAAGAATGACGTCCTCCTACTACGCTTTGTGTCGACACGACTTTTTGTGTAGCACGAGTGTTGCGCTGTACAGTCGAAGTGCTCGATGCTTTGGTCGTGGGGACGTACCCGCCGCGTGTGCACGTGCAATAACGAGACGTGGAGTCGACGCAATTGCTCGATTTGAATGGATACACATGTGCACTAGTCGTCACTGTGTGTTGTTGCCTCCCCGCTCGCGGCCGACTTCTTCTGTCAGGAAGGCAACACTGCCTCAAGCAGCCAGCCACCAGGCAGCCACTTACTCATCTACTGAATGTGTAAGGGGAAATGCAAATTCTGGTAACGCGTTATCGCAGCTCCGAGGTCCACATACGTTTGTTGCATGCGATCGGTCTCTAGGACCGCCTTGTCAAGCATCACATCCAGCTCGTCGATAGAGTAGTGTTTCGAGACGATCGACGCCGCGGTCTTTTTCGCGAGCTTCGCTAGGACTGCAACCTCCTTCACTTCCTCGCGCCTTTCGCGAAAGACCGTCTTGATCACGTACTCGTACCACGTACTAAGCTCTGGGCGGCTGAATATGCTCTGACCGCTGATGTCGAGCTTGAGCAGCGCAAACAAACCAATGGGGTCGACATAGGACGTTTTAAAATGTGTCAGCAATTCCTTCGTCATCGTGACCCCCAGTGCTCGATGCTTGCGAGTACCTTGAGCCGTTTCGAACGCTCTTGCCAACTGCTCCGGTTTGAAGTTCTGCTGCATGAGCGAACGAATCATTACCACTGGTTCGTCTTGATGCCACCAGTTGAAACGGCCTACGGCACTGACCCAAGCATAAAACTCTTCATCGAAGAGGTCTCCACGCGGTCCTGCCTCGAGTTTCTTTCGCGAGAAGCTCGTTACCATCCAGTGCCAGCGCCACGACAAGGCTCGAGTTGGAGAGTGCCTATTTTCGATCCCGCGAAACAACCAGGATGAACTCTCCTCGGCTTTTACCAGACCCACCGAAAGGGGAAAGGCATCTCTTTCATCGTCTTGCTCACTCGTTTGGATCGTCCTGGACTCAGCCTTGACCGTTGCTGCTGCTGCTGATGCTGTCGAAGATGCTGCACTGTCGGGTGGCACTCTCAGCGACGCTGATACTGCCGTCACGTCGTTCGCGTTTGCCAGCACTAGAACAAACGTTAGCACTTGGAGTGCACGCAGCACGACGACACACGAGTAGAAGCGCATGAGTGAGCAGAAGACGGCAAGCTCAAGACTGCCAAGCAAGCCGAACTTTCGATGACGGCCGCTTTGAGCGCCAGTCGTCAGGAAGCAAAGGCTGAGACAAGCATTTAATAACCTGAGCGAGCATAAAGTGCTGCACCGCTACGGACTTCCGCACGTGCGGGACATCTGGTCGTGCGCATAGCAAGAGCTTCTGTGGCTGCGTGGCGATCACCTGCATCAGCTTCTTGTTTGGTCCTGACTCTGCATCCAGCGTACGAAAAGATAATCTTGAGACGACGCAAACTGCCGCTCGTCGAACTGGTATGAAACACGTGCTCGTCCGACTTGTCTCTCGAACGGTATACATCACCCGGTTGGGTGAGCCCATAACACGTCATTGTCACCATACATTCGACGTTTGTAGTTCAACATGATGTAAGTAAGACCAAAAGAGGTTCATTGGAGAACGAAACGGTATTGAACACAGTTCTACTTTTGGAGATCGAGCCTTCCTCTGTACGTACCATGTATGTGAGTATTCGATGCACCTGCCTACTCTGTGTCAGTGTGCGTAGGTCGTACTGTGTCAAGACAAGCAGAGGGTGCCCCGTTGCATAGTTAAAAACTGAAAGCAGGTGTTCGACAAGTGCGTGGCGTAGGTTCAACGACTCAAAGAGTTGACAATATCGACGCTGATGTTAATACTGTGTCGACGAAGCGCATCGGCATGTAAGCGTCAAAGATGTACTATAAGACGGTCAATGATACGCGATGTGTAACGGGGTTACACGTCGGCTGGTAGTCGACAATAGGTGTGGTGCACACAAGGGATGGGGCTCCCTTTAAAGTGGTATTAGAACACAGTTACAATTGTTGAAGACTGATGTCTGCCAGCCATTGATTGCGAGATCTTTTGAAAGATTTTATTCAGGACATCAGCAAGTAGGTTGATTACGTTGTTCTGAGGTGTTCTTTTAGGTTAAAAGAAGAAATAAAGTTCAGTTCCCCTTTTGATCACTGAAAGACACGTGCCTTACGAGGCGTCTTTGATCGGTAGGAGCTAGCAATACCTGTGAAAGTAGCTGCTCCTGAGCACGCTGTGCTGTGATTCTTTGAATCGTTTGGTCCCCTGGAACAGGGACCATAAGCTCTCGAGCTTGTTGACTCTCTGAGTCGGGTCGGACCCGTAGAACCAAAGTTGCTCGTAGAGCGTTAAGTCTTCCTCTGACTAGAGGAGCTGTGTAGCTCCGCTACACGATGTGTCAATAAATGATGCGCGAAAAGACGATTGTAATGTGCGATACAGCGATTGCGATCGCGCAGTCGAATAATCCAGTCGTGTAACGGAGTGAGTTTGTTATAAACAATTGATACTAATGTATCAATTTTTGGGTTCTATCTATTTCGATAATAAGCAATCAACATCACTCTAGAAGAGGTGATGATGGCGGAATATTACACCCGGGGGTAATATTCTTGGGTGCTCCACTATTTGGTTGATGTGGGTCACATCAATCAAGTGAACCATTATTCGCTGCTGGACGCGCGCAATGGGTGGTGAACAAGAAACCCACATACGAGATGGTAGTTTGATATCTTAAGATTAAGACGAAAGACGATTTACAAAGAAACGTAACTATATCAAAACAACAGCTCTTCTTTTTCCCCAGACAGATCTTCCGAGTTTTGTTTGCTTCGGTTGCGCTTCCTCGCCACGTGTACGTGACGTCATGAGCATGCAGCCTTGCGCTCAGATAACACAAGGTCTTACCAGTCATCTGGCAAGAGCGTGTCCTGTTACAAGTAGGCTTAAACTAGCAAAAGCGATTGCGAGCTGCGGACCTGAATATGTATCAATTTGTATTTCACCAAATTTCGGTCGCCCGACCTTAACAACAAGTATGATCCTAAGAATCGCCTTCTACGACCGCGATGACAATCAAGCTCTCGTCATGGACGCATCATCTGCCTTCACATATTGCATTGACAAGTTCGATAGAGTCCACTTTTGTAATAGGGAGGATCTAAAAAACGGATGGTACGGGAGGAGATAGACATATGGTAAGCGGCAAGCGATGAGAAGAATATGGTTTAGCGTGTGAATGCGCTGGTGTTGAAATTGTACTAGCTATATGCACTTGCACTACACCCACGCAATGCGCAGGGCGGGAAGAATTCCGTTTTGGTCGCTCTGGACTTTTCCTTTGAACCACATGTTGGAAGTAAAGTAAGGAAGGAATAAATGTGGCTAAATATACAACTAAGGATAAATTAGTAAGGAAAGTAACAGCACGCGCCCGAGTACCAATCATTCAAGCTCTTAGATAGAACAAAATACATATAAGCGAAAGTTGCGCAGTGCGCGGGCGATTCTCTGTCCGGCGATGGATGATCCGCATCTTTTTCTAGATCGATCGGAGAGTAGGGCACACGACTTAGGGTCGCGGCTGGACACATGTAGAAAATATCTTAGCAAAAAAGCTTTCTGCTTGACGTTATTCAGACGGCAGGGATGGGCGTAGGGGGTGACATGCTACAACCCATTAACAAGTTTAGAACATGACGGAACGGCTCGACGCAGTGGGCGCTTCAGTAAGCTATACCGACTTGACTAGTGTGTTTCATGACAGTCTCATCGATTCGCATACATTCCTCATCACGGCGTCGGAATCAAGAGTTGAATCCCTCTCGTGACATCATGTGACGTCTCGGTTGCATACATAAAGCGCAAATGACAAGGCGGCATCGAGGGAGGAGAACACACCTAAGATCACGACTTCGTATCCAGATATAAAGGTAAGCGCAAAGTAAGACTGGTGCTGATAAAGACAAGCAGTGCATGTTACTTTTATGGGGATCAAAACCATTGGATCGTGAAGTGTCTGGTGAGCATTCGCGAAAATATGCAGCGGCAAAGCGACAAGGCCGGGACGGGTTGCTTGAATGGATGACAGCCATACGCTTGGTCAGTACCTGTCGCTTTCAACATCCGGACGTTCACAAACTTCCTAGCCCCATCTTTGTTTTTAGAATCAACTATCAGGTATGGCTTTTTGGCTTTTTCACTATTTGTTGAATATTTCATTTACTACGATTTAACAAATCCGGCACGGCACGGAGGATTGCATTGGTCTATCCTTTCTTTGGGATCCAGTTGCTTTGAGCCACCCAAAAGGTGCCGTGTATTTGAACCGATTTGAGTAATATGGCAGCGACAGCAGTCGGATAGTGGGCAGCTACTGTTTCGTCAAGAGTGTTACTGATTGATGGCTTCTTATGAGGCTCTAATGATTAAATTTCAGTTTACATCACGCCTTGTTTGACGGAAGACAAGCGCCATCAATACCAAGTAAAGTATTAGATTAATCGGTTTCGACATTGTAAGGTTTTCAGCGGATCAAAATGCCCACCAAGGTGAGGTCAAGGATGTCTAACGACACGCCATCTCTTTATCATCGAGAGCCGAGGTCAGCTATAATGACGACGGTGGTGTTACATTTGATGATCGCTAGGTAATTGATGACAAAGTACGTGCCGGAAAGAAAGCTAAAGAAGTGAAATCGGGGCGATTTGACCACAGGTGGCTGGTCCACGCCACGCTCATGTATATGTCGTGGCTGAGGGATCGAAAGGGTCGAGCGTAAAATTTAAACGAAGCCGACTTTGCGCGGGGGCATACTTTCCTTGGCGACTCAATGTCTTGGACGACTAATTGGAGTGACATTGTCTGCTTTCACCCACGTGTGACACTGCAACCCAATCTATGACAAAGAGGCGGCATTTTGGGTCCTTTTGCATCGCACTGATATACAACTTCCCATCTCAGGTATATCAGACACTTGAGCCGGGTCATTGATTGCGTACTCGAGGATAGTGCACCATTTTCATGGCTATCTTCCCACTAGTGACTGTACATCGCTGAATTATTCCGATACGGGCATGGAATGCGGAGTAAACCCAGTATCGTCGATGCCGGTATGATATATAGCCGCGTCTACAGCCGGTGGGACTCCTGTCCACTTTGGCGCGCATCCGGTGTTCACGCGCGTTGTCCACATTTGGATGGAGGTCGACGGTGGCGGCCCAACCGCAGAAAACTCAAACAGACTATCTCCTGGAGGAGTCGTGCTGAATGAATTGGACTTCTCGGTGAACGTGAGGCAAATATAGACTTCACGTGATTTCGGGAGGCACGGTGTTGGTCACTTGGAGATATTCGACAAATGCGAGCGTCATTTACGACCAATTTCACACGCTGTATTGTCTGAAAAGTGAAAGATTTCCGCTCTAGAATTGGTCTAGTCAGGATCTGTAGTTCCCCGTACCTGAGTATGCGGCTGATGTTCCAGAAATTACAAGCCATGTATTCTGGCACTGCTCCAGTGCACGACACCACCAGGTGTATCTACGTGATCGGTGTAGATGGCTCGATGCTTTCAACAAAGCTGAACTAAACGTCTGGGGTTTTATCCTGAGCCTCCCAGGATCCGCGCAATGCCTGAGATGACATTAGATAATCTTTCTCCCCAGTCGCAGATTCGTCGACAGCTCAGTCTCGGTATTACCAGCAGTTTGAGAGACGATGAGGTGTGTCGTATCTACGACACTTCATGCTATCCTGGACAGCTCGTCTTTGACACAGGAGGTACACATAGCCAGACCAAGAACCTCTTTTGAAGATCAGTTAGACGGTT